TCTCCCTCTCACACACATACATATACAGAAACGCAAGCACACAATTTCGCGCGCGAGAACGCCCCCTCCGCCTCAAAATGCATTCTTTGTTGCGCGGATTTTAAATTGCTTTGGCAATGGCTCCGTTATATTTTTATTTTCTAAAGAACCCCAAAATGATCACGGAATATCAACAGACGCTTCAGCACGCCAAGAGCTAGTTATAGGTTGAACTCAAACGTTTTGAGGCTTTCTCAGATAAATAAAACGTCCCATTATTGGAGAGGGTACAAAGATCTTTGTAGAGAGGCGGCTGGATAGCTTTGACTTTCGGTAAATAGAATGAAATGAGGATTTGCGACCCCTCGGCAAACTTCAAAACCGTTAGGCCTCCTCTTGAAACGAAATAAATGGTTTTTGGAACGTCTCGGTATTTAGCATGAATGCTCCTCGACCACGCGATAAATGCGCGTCACTTGTGTACATTTTTATTTTTATATTTTATATTTTATTTTAGTGATTTATTATGAATTTAATTGTAGTTTGTTGCTTATAATTGGCAATAAAATGTATTTATTTTTTGTGAAATATAAAGACCAAATGAATTTTTCAGGACCCACAATGCCATTTATCGTTTTGTCTGCGCATAACATGGCGGCGCCATGCCTCGCTATTTACACCTCTGAATCAGCGAATAATCGGGCGGTTTTAGTCTGTCCGGCCCGTAGGAATGGTAAATATAATATTTCCTTTGATATAAATGTTTATTGTAATTTGTAGCATCTGCATTAACCTCTAAACGCATGCATGTTGTAGAATTATGCCCAAGCGTCTTTATCGACAAGTGTACCAATTCCGGCAAAATGTGAAGAGTTGAGTCCTCTTTTCAGCGATGAATGGCTTAGGTCGAGTGCTTGGATTGTTGCAGAATTGTTTCAAACTCTCCTTCAAGCTTAGTTTTGTTGTTGGTTGTATTAATTACTAACATGAAATCAGCAAGAGAGACAAGTTCATTCTTACTGGCCTGTTTTTCTTGGGACTTATCCCATCTTCTTTCACACATGATTATGATCTGCTGGGCCTTCATTGGCTTGATCTTCTGGGCTAAGCTGTTAGTGTTAGGGAACAAGTACTTCTGTCTCGTTACATAGATCGAAGGATTCTTCCAATTGGACTGTAACGTGTGCTACAGTTTTAACAAATTGTTGGAGATCTATTATTAAGTTTGTTTCTTCATTCCTTCATTCTTATGCAATTGCCAGATCTAGAAGTTGATGAGGTTTGGTTTAGGACTGGGGGGAGGGATTTCTGATTTGTTTTTGTTTGAGTTGTAGGATTGTAGGCTACTTTAAAAGTGAGGACATTGATTTACCATTGCTGTGCCCAGGCCCAGAGCTCTTTTCTTAATTTTGAATTTGTTCCTTTTGGCACCTGGGTAAGATTATTTTATAATTTGGTTAGAGACAGAGGAGTGAGGGTACCTGTAATGAGCATGCCGTAAACACCATCTTTCTACATTCGCAGTCAGAGAAAGAAACATGCACTCCTGATTACACTGACTCCATCCAAAAGTTTTAAAAAAATGCCAATAGCAGTTGCAGTCATGCCGCTAATCAACATCTAGATTCTATATCTATGGCAGTCTGCACTGTAGATCTAGGTTGCACTCACCAGCTTTCTTTGCTTTTTAGGCAGGCCCTCCTTGCTCATCAAAAAGGTGACATGATTATGTTGCAGCATAGATAGGGATCTGATTACAACTGAGAATGATAGCCACCAAGTCCACCCCAATCTTAGTACCAGTGCAATTATTCTCTTGCCTTGGACTGGTGTTAATTCCGAAAGGTGTAGTGATGATAGCTTGTTGTGTTCATGATAGGGGTATCCACAGTTGTTCCAAGTTTTTGCAAAGTTTTGTCTTGATAAGGAGTAGGAATAGTTTTTTTATGTTGCACTTGAAGAAAATGAGAAGAAAAGGTTGTCAGGAGTCATGCTTCGCTGGATAACAAACTTATGATATTGATTTTGTTTTTCAATGGCTACTGTGGACTGTACTGTAGAGGTAGGTTCTTACCCTCAGCTCTGCTGACTTTGTTTGGTCAGCCTTTTTTTTTTCTCGCTCAAGAGTTAGGCCCTATCTTTGTTCAGATAATGAATGATAAGAAGGCCTAGGCTAATTTGTCTCTATTTTTGTTGTAGTGGCACTTGTTTACAGACAGCGTTTTGTTTTGGCCGGCTCTATTTCTCAGAACGTTCTGGAAAATAAACTTCAACTCTTATTTCCGTCCTCGAGATTTAAGCGAATGGAATGGCCTGTGTGAGTGTGTGTAAGGTGTGAACCGGGGTGGAGGGATTTTTTTACATGAAGGATTTTACTTTTTGCTGGGTGACTAAATGCAAAATAGGTTACTGCCAAGGTGGAGCAGTCTTGTTTTCTCGCAGTTCCTTTTGAAGGTATTTTCAATCAGGTAACATTGCCCCAACCACAACTGAAGTATCTCAATATTCAGATATTTAAAAATCTGTAGCTCTAGAAATTGAATTTGATGCAAAAAATGCTTCTTCCCAGTCCTCGTAAAATGGCAGAATGAAAGGATGACGCCTAAATCTCGCAAATAACCCAAAAATCTCGAGATCGGAAACCGTGCGGAGAAATAGCGTTCATCTTTATTTTCCCTAACGTTGGGAGAAATAGTTACTTCGTTTTGTTTTTGGCCATAGAGGTTGTCTTATTTCGGAAAACGACATTTGAAAGGACTGGTTTTTGTGACTGAATGTGTAGCACAATGTAAATTGTGATTAAAGCTGTTTCATGTCGTTATATTGAGATTGTTGCAGAAAATTTCAGTTAAAGATATTTAAAGTATTCTTGTGTAATTATTTAAAATAAAACATTGTATAAATTTATGTAATTATTGTTCAGCTGTTTAATTTATGTGTTTTAATCAACCAAATTATGAATAATGTCTATGGAGAAAAATACAGTTTATAACTGATCAATTATTATGCGTCTATATAGGTGAAAGTTTAGTTGTGTTTAAAAGTTTTTCATTTGCTATCTTGTAGGTTTCTATTTTTTTGTCTTTTTTGTGAATCTCTGCAACTGATGATGTTTCTCCTGAAACTGAAATGAGCAGGGGTTAAATGTGAGTATTTGCGAGAGGATTCTCTCCTTGGACCACATCTTGTGTTAAAGCAGCAAATGGCAGTTCTGATGCAGCAGAGCGTATTTTGCTGGTGGCACAAGTGGTTGTGATGTTCCTGTCAGCTCATAAAGATGATGATGATGCTTATGATGTGTTATTTGCAATGTCTTTGCTTGCAGGTGTAGAATTATGAATGGTGGTGATTCTGTCTCTTGGGCAAAGAAACCAGCTATACCCTTCAGCCGCAAAAGAGCGGTGTTAAAAAAGGCATTGCATTTGACTTCTTCGCTATCTTTGTGTGGTGTCTCCTCACGCAGACGCACACTGTCCGTGTCTGTTTTGTTTTGTTTTGTTCACGTTTTGTCTCGGTGAATTGATATTGGAAGGATAATGTTGGGGAAATGATAGGGTGGTAAATTGTTTTCATTTTGAAGACAGTGTTATGTTTCATGTTTGTATGTTTTCTTTTGATATTGGATAAAACCTGTCTTTTTAAAAAATTGGTATTTGTTTTGACTTGAATTAACATTGGTTGCACTACTGGAAACAAGATTTTTATGGGGAAAACATTTTATTGTTTACATGTGTTTGAGTTTCCATTTCTGTGGTACTTACAGATTTTATGCTAGACATACGTGTATAGATGTATTTTGTGTTGAGTGTTCTGTTTGTTTTGTTGCTTACATCATGTTGTAGTGAATGGATTGAGAGAGGTAAGTAATGTAAGCCTTACAACCCGATGGATATATAGAGGCTGTTGCTTGTCGTGAAAAGGGACAGCTTGCTAGTAATATGAGTTTCCAAATTTTATGTTGGCTGCTGTTTTTAAACTGTTGTTTACAAGTAATGCAAAAGCAATTTCACACGTTGCAATGGTTTGAAGTTTTGAAAACAGACTTGCCTAGCGAAGTTAATCAGGGTTGGTTTTAAACAATTTGAAACTGTTTTGCATTGTGTGTAGTCTACTTTGTAGCTGTACCATTTGTTTTTGATAAAAGGTTTCGAAAGGGCATCAAAGTTCTGATGGGAACCTTTTTTTTATCTAAGAAAGTTGTGGATATTATGTTCTGAATTGTATTTGCAGTCTCTGGATTGCGTTTCTACCCGAATACCAGTATACTAAATTCAAAGTGGCGAAAGTTTTTTTCTGGTAAAGTTTGGTTTGTAGGTTCAGCATCTTCTACGGGTGGACAACCCTTGGTTGGTTTTCAAAAATAATTCTTTTTATTTATTTGGAACCAGTAGGTATGCGTTTTTAGCTCTACACTAAAACTGCCTGGAGATAATGACTAGCGATGTGTCTGGATTTCTGCCTAATGTATAACATCGGTACATTTTGTTGAGTCTTAACCAATTTCTGTGTCAGATCTGGGATTGTACTGATATCAGATGTGTGAGCTAGGCAAGTCTGTCTTGCTCAATGGTAGGTTTTCCAACTGATGATGTTAGTAGATATGTATATTAGTATATGAACTTCAATTGCTGCGATATGGATATAGCAAGGTTTGTGTGGTGGTGACAGCATATGGAGAGGTGATGTATTGAGGCTGGTTCTCTTTAGCATCAACTTTGTGACCTTCAAGTCATTATTTGTCTCTTGTGTAAAACGCTCATTTTCTTATTGTAAATGTCTTGCTTTTGTTTCAGACTGTTGACCATTCCTCATTATCGAAGAAGAAGACGTGTCAAAAGTGTGCCCTGCAGGGTGTTCACAGCCCACTACACCTGTTTCAGCTGAATGACGAAGAAGCCCTGTGGATGTGCAAAAATGTGGACGTGAGTGCCGTTTAAAAATAATAAATTTATGGGAAGATTTCATAAAGATGATGGATTGTTTTATTGATAAAGGGATCTGATCTTTAAATTCATTCAGTTATCAGCGTAAGTCAATTTTGTTTTATATTCATGAGGTATATATATTTTTAAGTAGAAAACAATGCAGTGTTTGGTTGCAACTATTGTATTTGTAAAATGCTCAAAGCCTGTGTTCTTTAATCAGGGTTGAGTGCTCTATAAGTGTCATATATTATTATTGTGAGCAGTGGTGATGACTGGAAGATGAAGTGGGTTTTTAATACCGAATAAAGTTCTAGAGAATTAATTTGTCACGACAAAAGTATTCGAAATCACTTGATATGATATTGATACAGTGTGTAGCTTTGACCCGTTGGCCAGTGAGGTGAAAGAGTTCTACAGCTGTCGTCCTTTCCCTGTCTCAGTTATGAACTGACAGTGTAATTGTTTGTTAGTAGTTTCTGGAATTGTTTAAGTGCTCGTATGTAGGTCACCTTTAAGTGGTGGATAATGCATTTCTAAGAAAAGTGGCTTGAAGGTTATTTTTGAAAAATCAAATTTTCTCTGTTTTAAAATAATTTTTTGTAATTTTGTCTTTCAGTGCACATTTATGCCATCGTCCAACTGGGAGAGCTTAGTCGTGAAAAGGAGCATCTCGGAAATTCCTACCCCTTCTTCGAGGAGGAAATTCAGCTCTTTGTCTTCTCGCTCATCAGCATCATCAGTGAACTCTGTGTGCAGTGCGCCTGTGCTACAAGTTAAATCTGACTTGGCTTTTCAGTCACGATCAAGCACACCGGCATTGAAGCATTATCGTCAAGGTGATAGGCCCGGCACGTCTGCACTCTCAATTGCAGCTACTGGTTCATCAGTGTCTGTTTCATCTGTAAGGAAATCCATAGACTCTCCCGTACCGGCTGCTTCTGAGGCGGTGTCGGAGGTTAAAGAGCACAAATCTATTATACCTGTTGCACCATTTCTTTGTGGACACGCTCATATCTTCTCCTCGTTCGAAACAAAAAGAATCGAGGATCGAAGACAGGGGAGAGTTCAACAGTCATTCCTACCACGAAGCAGCAGTCGTTCTGGTGTTGGGAAACAACTGTTACCCGTGCGTTCTCGTGAGAGGGGAGACCCTGTCAGTTCATCGCAAAGCTCTCGGCCTGCAAAACGTAGAGGAAGTAGTTTGGATTCCGACTCTCAGTCCAGTAGCAGTGGGTCATCTTACTCCAGGCCTTCCTCCCCTTCTGGCAGTTGCGAAGTGGTGAGAGGGAAAAAAGTGAGGAAAATAGTGGTCACTCCGGACACTCTCAACAAGATAGTCAGCGGCGAGCTCAAAGTGCAGATAGCTAAAGCACCTGGGGCAAAGTCTTCGTCTGTGGTGTTAAATCCTGTCGGTGGGAAAAAGCAAAGTTCCCGACTCACTCCGTCTGGGGATATCCGTGTCAGCAGCCAAGGGCCAACCTCTCAAGGGGACCGTCTTGAGGAACAGGCAAGGGGTGGTGTTGCTGCACCCGCTACAACCAACGGTGGCTTTGATTTCGAGGTCACCCCTGTTGGCACGTTGGATGCGCTGCTGAAAAGCCAAAGTGCCCAGCAGAGTCTGTCGTCTCTTCAGTTGCCATCAGTAGGCGCTGTCCAAGATCCCAGTCAACTGAAAGCTCACATAGAGGCCATCAATTCTCACATTCAAGCTATCAACGCGGCTCTGGCAAACAGTAGCTCTCCATTACTGATCAGACCTGCAGAGATTTCGAGGCCAGTGACTTCAGCAGGTACGAAGAATAAAACATCTGACCCTGTAAGCTCTGACAACTTTGAACAGGGCACTGTCCAGGGAGAAGCCTTCGCCGAGAGCGATTGTGTGGATTCAGATTTCAATTTACAGGACTTGTTTGGACCAAGTGAAGGGGAAGGACATGCAGATTGTGTCTCCACAAGCATGATCCATTCGGATTTTGTGAACTTTGATGGGAAGGAGTTTTTGGATATGTGAAGAGACTGCATGCGTTGCACACATGAACTTGCACTGCTTTGTTGATCATGATTTTCTTATTTTCCCTATAGCAAGGTAAGCTACAAAATGCCAGTAACTGGGAATTTGAACCAAGAGAATCCCTCAGAGCAGGAATCCCCTGCAGTGAATGATGGTGGGGGGAATATGGCCTCGCTCACAGAAGGTACAGCCACTTCGTCTCTTCCACCAGCGCCAGGCGTGGCTTCAGACAGTGCCAACCAGACGTCATCTGAATCGGCATCTGACAACACCGGTGGCGAGGTGTCCAGCACCACCGCGGACAATGAGGACCTGGCCGATAACGAGGCCGTCACGGATGCCTCAGACAATCTGCAGTTGCCGGAGCCCGTGGAGTCCACGTCCATGGACATCTCCGACTCTCTCGATGGCTTCAAAGATGGCACCGTGAGTCCCCCGCCAGAAGAGGGCCAGGCTCCCTCCTCAAAACACAGCACGTTTACAGCCACAAACTCTGCGTCCTCCTTCAACAACGGGTTTCAGAGCGCTTTTGCGGCATTCGCGTCTGCTTCGTCTCAGAGCTTCACAGCGACGGGGCAGCATGAAAGCAGTGCCAATGTATCCGGCACAGCTGCGGGCAGTTCAGCTTATGACGCGGTCAGCACCACAGAGGCAGACCCTGCGGGGGAAGCGTCATCCACCTCGACGGATGCGATTGGCTCCACCACCGCCACGGAGCTGCTTGTGTCGTCGGCCATTGACTCTAGTCTGGTCACCACCACCGGAGACAGCACCAGCGGCAGCAGGATAATGGCGGATGTAGACAGCAGCAGTGTCGTGGCCAGTGAGGCGATGACCGCCATGTCGTCTACGGTGACAGAGACTGCAGACATTGCGGCAGAGAGTGGTTTCTTCCAGGCTGCTGAGGAACCCTGTGACGCACCACCTGCTAACATTGAAGTTCCGGCCGTCGCAACGGACTTCGAGTCTTCCCCCTTGCCGGGATCTTCAGCAGGGGAGGGTTTGACACTGCAGGAATCTCCGCTTGAAGAAGCAGCGTCTTTAGCAGCTGAGGAATCGACTGTGGGGCAAGAGTGTGCAGAAGCACAGGAGTCCTCCTCAGGGCAACAGTTGTTACTGGAGACTTTGACAATGTCACAAGCTGAACCAGAACAAGTTGCCGCGGAGACAGGTGCTGCTGGAGAGCCCACTCTAACCGAGGAAGGACCTGTTGTGACTCAGGCAGAGGCTGTGGAGATTCGAGAAGAGCCTGTGGTGACTCCAGAGGAAGCCATGGTCACTCAAGAAGAACCCATGGCTGCTCAAGAAGAGCATATGGTGACACAAGAAGAACCTATGGTGACTCAAGAAGAGCATATGGTGACTCAAGAAGAACCTGTTGTGGGTCCGGAAGAACCTGTAGTGAGCCAGGAAGAACCTGTTGTGACTCAGGAGCCCGGTATGGCTTTGGAGGGAACTGTGACTCCTGAAGTTCCAGTCGTGGATTCTGAGCCCACTACGACGGAGGAGTCTGTGGGCACACAAGAACCTATGGCCGTAGAAGAGCCAGCGGTAAGTCAGGAATCTCTGGCTGTTACTTCCGATCAACAGGAACAACCTCAGGTAGAAATGGTCAGTACAGATGAGCAAGCTGCCGTTGGTTTTCCCGAGCAATTGACCTCGAGTGAAGCTGTGGCTGCCTCATCAGCGGCTGAGCAGCAGCAGCAGGTTCAGTATTCCGAGAGCCAGCAGCCAGAGGTGCCGTCGCAAGCCGTGTCGGATTCCGTGTACTTCATCCAGATGACGGACGCCTCCGGGGAAATCGTCACGTCCATCATTGACCCCAACGATATCTCCGCCTACTCTGACTCGATTGTGTACAAACAGTGCATGAAGGCGGACGGTCAGCTGGAGACCACCATCGTCAGCTCGGGGGGCGTGCTCATGGAGCAGCAGCAGGAGACGGAGCAACAACAGCAGGCCGTCCAGCAGGAGGTCGCTGAGACCCAGCAGGAAGAGCAGCAGCAAGTGATTTACGCACACGATCTGAACGGCCAGCTGACGCCCATCGATTCGGCGCAGTCGGCCAACGACGTGGCCCCGCCGGGCAAACAGTTTGTGTACATGCAGGACTCTAGCGGCCGCATCATCCGCACCATCATGGACGCCAATCAGACGATGGTTCCCGGCCAACAGGTTTACTACACACAGAGCGAAGACGGGCAGATCATCACGTCTGTTATGGACTCGGCTTCGGCTGGGATGACGGACGAAGCTACGGCTCAGCAGCAACAACAACAGCAGCAGCAGCAAGATATGTCCAGCCTAGAGACGCAGCAACAGCAACAACAGCAGCTGCTTCAGTCGACCCCTCAGGTGTCGACGAGTGCGAGCTCCATGGTGGCAGGCACCAGTGGCTTCTCCATCGATAACAGCATGAGCGGCCTCAGTATGCTGGCAGAGCTCTCCCACCTCACTGCCGGACAGGGTGAGTGCTTGCTTTATGTTTGTCACGGCCCTGGTCTAGTACTTAGGATGTTGGGCTCGCTACTGAAAAGTCGTGGGTAGTTATTGTCTCCTGCTACGATGACTGATTTCTCAGTTCTTACGCAGGAAGTCAAAAGATTTCGTCCATTCAGTAACGTCCCCTGCTTTGGGTTAGGTTGAAGGGAAGGCAAGATTTGTAAAATGTGAGGAAACGAGGTGAAATCGAAGAAACTGCCACTTTTCTGCTGGTTTGGCAATTTTATTGTAATTCTTGTGTTTAGTTACCGAAAGACATTGATTAAAGACACCAAAAAATGTACATTTTCAGTTTCCGAGGACTCTCAAACTATGGAAGTTTTACCAAACTTTGGCAACCATTTTCTCGCTAAATTTACTTCTGAAACCAGGCAACCCCTACCACTTTTAATTGAAAAAATTTGGACTTTATATTCAAGATAGATGAATACGATTTTCATCAACAACAAGATAAATGAACAAGCTTCAAAACGATACCAATAACTCTGCTTGCCCTAAAACTGACGAGCGCCTGATTCCACAGCATCGTGACACAAATGTGTTGTTTGTACTGACTCGCCACAACCTCCTCCCGCCCACCAACTCCGTAACATCCAACATTACAAGTATGTTAGGGACACGCCTCCTGTATGCTGCAACAGACCTATGCATTGTGCTAGAATGTGTCGAGAGAAAAAAGAATTAACTGAGATTTATTTATTTCCTCATTCGGGACACCTTGTGTTCTTCAGCTTCCACGTCCAGCCTGCCTGAAGCGAGAGGGGCGTCGAGCACAGACAGCAACTCGCAGGATGCAGACATGGAAGAGTTCCGGCCGGTTGCCATGGTGACCAGAAGGGTAGCTGGGAGTGAAGGACAGGAGGGTGTCGATGCAGTGAACTCTGACATCGCGGGGCTTCGTGTGAGCGAAACGGACGCAGGCGCCACTGGTTAGTAGCTGTCCACGAGCGTGTTCCATTATGGAAAACTATGCATGGCTGTCAACCAGTATGTGAAAAACTTGTTTAATACGTTTACATCAGTCTGATTATACAGATGTTTTCACGTCAGAAAATACATTTTTTGTTTTCTAGTATAGCTCCTCACAGACTTGTCAATGCTAAAAAAAAAGTAAACTTTCAAGACTAGATTTGTGAATAAACATTGAACACAAAATCCATAAAATCTATTGTAGTTTTGTTATTTACCATAGTTATCTACTGATCATGGATGTATTGGATGCAACAAAATGTGTGTGAATGGTCTGGAGAAAAGTAGCCCACCCTCTTAACATGTTTTTTTAAAAAGCCTGCAGCTATGTTATATATTACAGTTTTAGCCTCCTTCCTCTTTTTACTTTCCGCCTTTTCATATTTAGGGAGGTGATTTTCTTTGAATTAGGGTTTATTGTTTTTGTTGTTTGAAAACACCTAGGGGGCTCCAGTTGAGAGTGAACTCAGGTTAAAACAACAACAGAGTGAACTCGGGTTATAAAACCATTTTCATTAAGCAGCGTTGGCGATAACTTTTATTAGGGTGACTGTTGGGGAGTTTCCTTGAGCAGGGCGCTATAAATGAAGTTAAAAAGTAGCTTGCGGGGCAGTGGGTGACCAGTTGTTGGTGTGTGTAGATGGTCAGATCATGTGATGTTTTATGAATGTTTATGTGTTCATGTATACCATTAGGGTGTACAAGTCACGATCTTCTGCCTACGAACACAACACATACCACTAAATTCCTACCTTAATAGGATCCGCAAGGATACCCCACCCGACTGCCCGCTGTGCGACTGCCAGGATGAAACAGTACCACACCACCTCTTTAACTGCCCAGCACTTTGTGACCTGCGTAGCACCTACCTACCTGCCTCCCCAAACATCGGAAATACTCTATACAGCGACAAAGCACAGCTGATTAAAACCTGCAAATTCTTTGCCATATCGACAGACCGAAGGGCTTGAACCCAAATGGCCGCTGGATCGGAAAAGTAAAGTAAAGTACCATTAGGGTGCAAAAGTTCTCCAGAGATGGATAGGTCGAACACAGAAGACTCGAAATCATGCAATAGTTGAACTGTACCCGTGGTCCCGTTTTTTGTGGTTTTTTTCCTTCATCTTTGTAAGATATCCATCGAACTACTGAGGCTGGTCCCAATGATTTCTAGCTATCCACGTTAAACAGTAAATAGCTTTTGTAACTCTTACTAAGACTAAACACTGACTTTACCTCTCCTCCTCGTCCTCGTCAGGCCCTCAAGAGTCTATCAGCAGCAAGCTGATCGCGGAGATGAAGTGCGGCTACGTGTCCCCGGCCATGACGGTGTCCAAGGACAACCTGTTTGTCCAGTGGCAGAACCTGGACGCCATGTGCTGGATGGACGTGGTGCTCATCATGCTGGTCTACTCACCCACGCTGCGGCCACTGGTCAACCTGGAGCCCACGCACGAGCTGGCCTCCACCTTGCTCATCACACTGCTCAAGGCCAATCGGCAAGCTCAGGTGAGTGCTTCGACTAGTGGTAGAATATCCTAGACAGGTCACTCCTGATGTTAGGGGTAGAAGTGTTCTCAGTTTTCTGGGACTTTGTGGCCCCGACCTTGCTCGTCACACTGCTCAAGGCCAATCGGCAAGCTCTGGTCAGTGCTTAGACTAGTGGTAGAACGTCCTGGACAGGTCACTCCTGATGTTAGGGGTAGAAGTGTTCTCAGTTTTCTGGGACTTTGTGGCCCCGACCTTGCTCGTCACACTGCTCAAGGCCAATTGGCAAGCTCTGGTCAGTGCTTAGACTAGTGGTAGAACGTCCTAGACAGGTCACTCCTGATGTTAGGGGTAGAAGTGTTCTCAGTTTTCTGGGACTTTGTGGCACCGACCTTGCTCGTCACACTGCTCAAGGCCAATCGGCAAGCTCTGGTCAGTGCTTAGACTAGTGGTAGAACGTCCTAGACAGGTCACTCCTGATGTTAGGGGTAGAAGTATGACTTTGTGGCCTCCACCTTGCTCATTACACTGCTCAAGGCCAATCGGCAAGCTTGGGTCAGTGGAGGTTTGGCAAGATCTTAAGGAAAGGTATTCTCAACTTTGTGGAGAGGAGTGGTTACGCTTGTTTTTTCATCGTTGCTTCTATTCATTACACTGCTCCAGGCTTATAGACAAGACCTTTTTTTTGTATTGTGCAGGCGCGTTGGGGAAAAAATTACTCATTGCAAATTTATTTGAGCAGATATTAATGTACTTGTTGAGGGTGATATTGTCTGGATCCTTTGTTTTTCTCATTGTTCAAAAGTGGCTTTATTGAAGTGCAATTTGATATATAATGTGTATAATGTAAAGTAAAATATAGGAAAGGCCAACATTGGGTTAAATGGGTTTTCTTCCTTTGTTTTCTCTATCAACATGTACATCATTGTTGAATTTTTGTTTTTCTTCTGTTTGATTCAGGTATTACTTCAGAATTTGCTGAAGAAGAACGGAGGGTCTGAAATCTCTGGCTTACAGACGGGTGCTGGCAACACAGTGTCCATGCAGGACCCCAAGACCTCCAAGCTGGTGTGCAAGGAGAACATGGACGAGATCGGCAAAGCCATCAACATCCTGTACGCCATGCGGGAGAAGATCTGGCAGGCCCTGCAGCCTCGACTGCGCTGTGAGCGGGGCAAACACAACAGCCCCGTGCTGGTGCTGCCGCTGCTGGTGAGGGAGAAGCCCATCATCAAGCAGATGTTCACCATGAACTACCGCTACGTGTTCAAGGTACGTGTTGTGAGAACTAGATGTGTGTTCAAGGTACGTGTTGTGATATAGCTGTGTGTTGTGAGAACTAGATGTGTGGTCAAGGTACGTGTTGTGATATAGCTGTGTGTTGTGAGAACTAGATGTGTGGTCAAGGTACGTGTTGTGATATAGCTGTGTGTTGTGAGAACTAGATGTGTGGTCAAAGCACGTGTTGTGATATAGCTGTGTGTGTTGTGAGAACTAGATGTGTGTTCAAGGTACGTGTTGTGATATAGCTGTGTGTTGTGAGAACTAGATGTGTGTTCAAAGCACGTGTTGTGATATAGCTGTGTGTTGTGAGAACTAGATGTGTGGTCAAGATGTGTGTTGTGAGAACTAGATGTGTGTTCAAGGGATACGTGTAGCAGAGATATAGCTGTGTGTTCAAGGTATGTGTTGTGGAACTGTTACATGTTCAAAAATTGGTTGCTCTAACATGGACATCATTTAGAGAAGTTGCTGTGAGATGTTATTGTGTTCACTGTTAATCCACTGAGATGTCCTGGCTTTGTGATTTCTTTCTCTGTGATTTAAAAAAAACAAATTTTCTTGCTCCCCCCCAGTGTGAAAAATGTGGGTATTCACAAGACGACAGTCACTCCAAAATCCTCCCCACAATCCCAGCAGTTCCTGAAGATTTCAACATGACTACGCCATACTTCGAGAGGAACTGCTTTGAGTGCCAGGCGCCCAGTCAGCGCATGGTTATGAAATTTGAAGGGTTAGTCCTGTTTGTGATTTGAACATGTTGTCAATGTTTTCTTCGGAAAGGCCTTGCATTTTTGTATACCATCAAGCACGCACATTGCGAACATATTTTCAGGTCCCGAATTTTTTCTAATACACGTATACTCTTTGTATTTAAGATATGTACCAGGGGTAATTTGTACATGGTAAAAAGATTTCTGTGGCCTGTCAATTTAATTCTTTGCTTGTTAGATTGAAATTGAATTCTGTCCATAATTTTGTGGAAAATAGGAAATTTGGTTTCCATTTTAGCTTTTTGTATTGTAGCTAGTTAGTCCATATAAATACGGTTGTTGGTGATTGCACTAACTAAGCCGGCCAAATCCTTTCTGAATAAGGAGATTGGTGGTATACGGTGCATACAGGAAAGTAGTCTTCTGTTCACTTCGTAGAGCTGGGCATAATATGTGCTTAGTCGTGGCAGGAAACTTACACTCTGCATCAAGTAATTTTGTACTGACAAAAAAAGAATCTGTGAAGCACGGCTGTGAAAACAGTGGTTTTCATGGGAAGCCATGGTGTTCTTTTGCCATTTTTGTCAAAATCATGATTTATGGTCAAGGGTCAAGGTCAGTAGTATTTATTTTCATATTTGTGTGAGTTCTGTGTAATATTTTTATGTGATTTTAAAATAAAATAGCACAATGTTATGTGGTCCTGTATAATTGCCTCCTTTTGTCATGCTGTTACAATAAGCAAGAGGTGCCAGTTTCCAGTCTTTCTTGACACTGATACATTGCTTTTTCCCTCATTTGTTTGTCTCAGGCTACAAGATTTTGTCCAGATGCATTTCGTCAAAGGTCTGCCACACAACAGATTTGATGAACTCAGCTTTGATTTCAACGGAGACCACTATGAAGTCACGGCCGTCGTACATTATAAAAACAATCCTGACCATTTTATCGCCTGGGTGCGAAATGCCCCAGGTAAGTACTACTTTTTTGTTGCTTTGTAATTTGTGTCTTTTTGGCCATACACCAAAGCCAAGCTATACTCCCAAGTCAATGGGAATTATGGGAACACAATTTGATATCTTCTTTACCTTTGTCAAAGGGATTGCACTAACTAAGCCGGCCAACTCTCGTACATGTATGGAGCATGTTGGTGGTATACGGTGCATACATCATTTCACTGTCTTCTCACTGACCTAGCTGTGCCAGATTGTGTTCTGTGACAGTTGTGGGAAGATTGTTACATTGTCTCATGTAGGTGAAAGGATTTAGTTTTGAAAAATCTTGGTCGGAATATGACATAGCAGTAAGTTATTTGGTCTTCTTTGAGCAGTTTGGCAACCTGCTTATTTGAAAAGCGTAAAAAAAATTATGAGCGTGAAAAATGTTTTCAAGGGAGAAAAGGGTTTCTGAAAGTCCAAGGGGTTGCAATGTATTGGAAAGGTTTGAGAGCAGACACTGGATGTCAGATCTTTTCACCTTGGTAATTTTTAAAGATTAGGGAGTCTCTTGGCTGGGTTAAGGGATAGAAGAAGATGTCTGAGAACAAATAAGGAAAGAATTCACCATTCCAGAATGTTTCCTCCCCTTTCTTTTTTCTTGCTGCCTTGTTACCACCTTCAGTAACTTATTCTTTTGGTGTACAGATCAAAATCTTCCATTACATGGGGTTGCACTAACTAAGCCGGCCAACTCTCGTACATTTATGGAGCATGTTGGTGGTATACGGTGCATACATCATCTCACTGTCTTCTCACTGACCTAGCTGTGCCAGATTGTGTTCTGTGACAGTTGTGGGAACATTGTTACATTGTCTCATGTAGGTGAAAGAAGGATTTAGTTTTGAAAAGTCTTGGGATTCTTGGTCGAAATATGAAATAGCAGTACGTTATTTGGTCTGCTTTGAGCAGTTTGGTAACGCGCTTTTTGAAATGAGGATAAAACATTTTAGCATGAAAAATGTTTTCAGGGGGAAAAGGGGTTTCGGAAAGTCCAAGGAGTTGTGATGGAAAGGTTTGAGAGCAGACGGTGGAAGTCAGATCTTTTTATCTAACTAATTTTTAAAGATTAGGGAGTCCCTTGGCTGGGTTATGGGACAGATGAAGACGTCTGAGAACAAATAAGGAAAACCTTCACCATTCTAGAATGCTTCCTCTCAGGCCCCCCCCCCCCCCCCCCCTTTTTTTTTTTCATTGTCTGTTTGATTGGTTGTTCAAAAAAAGGATGTTATGCTGCTGTGTATGAAAAAAAATTCTGAGAAGACTTGGATCTTGCTGCCTTGTTACCACCTTCAGTAACTTATTCTTTTAGTGTACAGATCAAAATCTTCCATTACATGGGGTTGCACTAACTAAGCCGGCCAACTCTCGTACATATATGGAGCATGTTGGTGGTATACGGTGCGTACATCATCTCACTGTCTTCTCACTGACCTAGCTGTGCCAGATTGTGTTCTGTGACAGTTGTGGGAAGACTGTTACATTATGTCTCTCTAGATAGAACGAGGACTCGGGGACTGAATTAGTGGTACTTCTGGACAACAATGGTTGAAGGGAAAAAAATATTTTCCACTATATAAAACTGTCCTTTCTTAGTATGAGCATTATGCTTTTGCCCATGGCAGATGGTACCTGCGCTTGTTGTTCATTGGTTAGGCTCTTTGCTGTCGCATAAAATGCACATCATGAAATTATTTAATAGTTTACCAACACACACATAAGGGTACATACATCCTCAAATACAAAATTTACCATCACAGGGTAGCGTTGAACAAAACGTGTCTTTACTTTTCTCAAACACTCTCTCATGTCATAGAATGTTGTGTAGCTGCTTTTTGTCTCTGGACCTACAATCGAATCTATTTTAAGCAGCCACCTGTCCAAGGGAGCACTAGTTAGAAGACAAATATTGCTCAAAGACTTGCACTAACTAAGCCGGCCAACTCTCGTACATGTATGGAGCATGTTGGTGGTATACGGTGCATACATCATCTCACTGTCTTCTCACTGACCTAGCTGTGCCAGATTGTGTTCCCTGACAGTTGTGGGAAGATTGTTACATTGTCTCATGTAGGTGAAAGAAGGATTTAGTTTTGAAAAGTCATGGTCGGAATATGAAATGGCAGTAAGTTATTTGGTCAGCTTTGAGCAGTTTGGTAACACTTATTTGAAAAGCATAAAAAAAGTTTTTTTTGTGAAAAATATTTTGAAGGAGGGGAAAAGGGGTTTCTGAAAGTCCAAGGAGTTGTGATGGAAAGGTTTGAGAGCAGATGGCGGAAGTCAGATCTTTTCATCTTGGTAACTTTGAAAGATTAGCAAATCCTTTGGCTGGGTTAAGGGGCACAAGAAGACATCTGAGAACAAATAAGGAAAGCCTTCACCATTCCAGAATGCTCCCCCCCGGTTTTTTTTCTTCTTTGTGTTAAATAGGCTGTAAAAAAAAAGAATATGCTGCTGTGTATGAAAAGAAATTCAGAAAGGGCTCAGATCTTGCTGCCTTGTTACCACCTTCAGTAACTTATTCTTTTGGTGTACAGATCAAAATCTTCCATTACATGGGGTTGCACTAACTAAGCCGGCCAACTCTCGTACATA